GTCATCCTGGGACTGGGGAGTAGATGTAAGAAGTGCCCTCCAAGAATATAACAAATTTCCCAAATCTTTTTCATCTCATGCCTCCAGATCATCCTGAATTTCTGCAACCTTTGCAGGATCTAGGTGACAGAAGCACATAAGTCTTAAGCTACAAAATGAAAGCCAAAACATCAAGTGCAGAACCAGGCACAGAAAGAAAAAATACATCCACATGCTCAGGAATGTATCATTTGTAGCAAAGCAGAAATTAGTTTGTCTGCAATATGTGAGACTATAAGAAAGGAAGATCCTAAATTCTCTAGTAAACAAGGAAGGATAAAAAAAGGAAGGACATTACTGTGAATAGTTGCACTCAATATTATTAATTATGTATGTTTCAAGAAGCTTTTATATTTTCATTAATGAGCTGACTTTTTATTGTAAATATAAAAGTATTTATCAGGAAATTCATAGGTTCAGTTATGACCTACTCTTCTGAAAATTGTAATCTTTCTCATGTCTTAAGTTTGAAGATTATAGATTTTATAGAGCTCTAAGAGTTTATACTGATCTCAGAAGAGCAAGAGATCCATCCTGCTCAGAAAGGAATCTGGGAGAGGATGCAAAGGAAACTTACATTTGACTTGGGTCTTAAGAATTAGCAGGATCTCACCAAAGGGACAGTAGCAGAAAGAAATTCTGGGCAAGGCGATGGTCTTGAAGAAGCATAAAAATATAATAATATGTTTTCGAGCAACCAGAAGTTTCAAGATGAGACAGATACAGTTTTCCTAGAGAGTAAGAGAAAGGGTTAGAGCCGAAGCTAAAAGTATTTGTCAGGAATATTCTATGAAAGTCTTCAGTGTACAGTTGGGCAACCTGACCCATTTTTTCTTTCTTTTTTTTTTTTTTCTTCCAGAAGTAAGATTTAAAACATTAGAAATAATTGAGGTCCACTAAAATTGGAATCATTCTTTTTCTTTTCAAAGATGGTAGTAATTGTTGAGCTCTTCAGGCAGTAGAACTACCCTGAAGGGTTCTATTATTTCCATGGAAATTAGAAGTTCTTCTGGTAAGGAAACGTTTTAGGAATTGTTGATAATAGGTATGTCAACAACTTCCAATTGCATAATGCCCCTAGAAAGATCCAAATCTTTTTCATGTGTTCTCTTTCATACACCGTAAATAGTATTGGCAAAGGTCCAGAGAAGGCAGAAATTTGACAGGACATACTCTTTAAAACTGCAGCTCACCTCTTTATGGAAGCAGTCTAAGACAAGTCACTCGCATCCTGTTCAGATGAGGTTACCTGACTTTGGTGCTCATATATATTGGGTTAGGAATTATGTGTGTGTTTAGAAAAAAGTTTCTTTCTGTAACTAGCTTAAGCACTACAATTTGACTTGAGTCATAATTTTGACAATTACCTTTCTTTTAGTGAAAACTTGTACTTCGTGATCTTTATTATTACTTCCACAAGGGATTAAGAAACATCACAACATTTGAGTTGAAACATACCATTTTTAAAAACATAAATTTATGAATGACACTGAAAATAAAAGTACTGCTATTTAAAGGCTTTAAAGTCATCCTCCTCACCACTTAGAATCAAATCCAGACACCATTCAGCTAGGATTCTAACAAAGTTAAACAATACATGTGACAGGATCTTAAAAACATGGAAAATGCCAGTATTGTTTCAATCAAATCAGATATAAAAACTTAAGTTTAGGCAGAATTAGATGACTGATTGTCATAACAGAATGGAAACCCTGTTGCTAATCAGTTAGTAGTTCAGTGTTACCTCAAAATTTATCTTGATTATGCTTCAAATTACAAGGCTTGCTCAGGCACCCAACTGTATTGCTTCTCCTTTCTCCCTCACTACTAATTTACTAAAGGGGAGAAAATCAGAATGATCATATTTTTCCACAGATTTTTGGGAGGGCTTAGCAGGGAAAGTAAAATGTGGGTCTGTGGTTTACCTCAGTTGGCCATCTGAGCATCCACAGCAAGATGGTAGAGACAGCAGTCACATTACCAAGGAATGGGATGGAGTCAGTTTGATGTATAATTCAGAATACACTGTGTATGTGTCTTTCAGACTCATTATTTCCAATAGCATCTTGTTCTGTATCTTTAGAAGAGGTTCTATATGGGATACCTGAAGGTCCTTTTCATACTCTGCCAACCAAACAGCTAGTGCTATTTTTATATAGAAATAGGCAGCCTGTAATTTTCATGACTGTTATTTAGAATGAGTTGGCAAGTTCAAAGCTCATTTTATAAACAACCTTGGCATCATCTGTAGAAACTGTAAATTAGGCAAAGTTACTTTTACTCAAATGAATGAAAGTTATTTTTTTCATAAGCATCTCAATGTTGTTATAAAATTATTAATAGATACATTAATTTTTTTTTTTTTTTTGCCATGCTAGAGATTGAACCCAGGGCCTCATGCATGTTGTTTGGCAAAGTGTTCTACCACTGAGCTACACTCCTGGCCCCAAATCCATTTTTTAAGCTAGGTACCAACCAAGGAACTTTTTTTATTTTTATTTTTTTGCAAACTGGGAATTGAACTCAGGCCCTTGAGCTTGCCATGGAAGCTCTTATTCTACTGAGCCATCTCCCTGGCCCCCCAAGGAACATTTTTTAAAGCAATTCTTCACTTTCAGTTAGATTTCAAGATGTGTAACTTTTCTGTTGTTCTTCAGAGAACTGGTTTGGAATGTGTTTTGAGGGGTTTTTTCCTTTATAAAGTGTAACTTTATATTAGGAAGTGTAGATATTGTTGTTCTATTGTTTATTTTTCAATCTGCAGTACCAAGGTATTGAAAGATCTTTAATCCAACTGCAACTTTCTTGTTCTTATTTCCTTGATCATCATAAATTCTCCCCAACTGATAAGGAAGCTCATAGATCATTCCTTTCACTTATAGATGAAGAAATTAGTACTGAGAAATTAGATGACATTTCTCTTGCATAGCTAGTTAATGAAAGAACCAGAACTAAACACCAAATCTGTTTGTATTCTGTTATAGGATGCCTTCTATGCTAAAGGGAAATTACTGTGTCTCCTCCCTTTATTTCTTTCTGTAGCATTTGGAGAGCTAGTTCTCCTTTCATGAGTTGATGAAAGCAAGTGAGGAACACAGCTCATTTCTAAACTGGAAGAGAGCATTCCCAGTGTAGGATATATTTTCAAGATCTGCTAATGTTGATCCAGAAATGCATTTTTAGTACCTTCAAAAGAGAACATAATCAAGAGACAGTCCCAAATCAGTACCTCCTCACACAAAATATTCTTTTCTAATAAAAAGCTGAAAGTAAGCCACTGATCAGAAAAATAGTAAACGTACTTAAAAATGTATAGCTCAGGTACATGAAAGTCATGTGTTGTCATATAACTCACAATTGTAATGTAAATTTTATTCTTTCTTTTTATGTCAAATGTTAGCATTTAAAAGCAGTAAAAAGCATATTCCACCAGAATGGTTAGTCCTTATTTTACGTGGTTTTATTAAGCGTATGGCACTATGACAGACTACTTTTTCACTGAAAATAAAATGATTTCTAAATATAAGTGTGTCATCTTTTAGTGATCATTCAACTCATTTGAAGCACACATTTCAATTGTAAACACGTGCATTTTTTAAAGACTTTTTAACTATGAATATTTTCCTTTTATGGAAGAAAGTAAAGCAGAATTTTGAAATAATAATAGAACAATAACAAGAGCTAATACACTCCATACTGTAATCTTCAGAGGGCATAAAAAGTTCTCCAATCAAAATTAGCACAAACTTTCCTTTTCAATGAACTAAGAGACACTAATAATATATTTTTAATTTTTCTTCCTTTCCCCTTCTTTCCTTTCTCCTTTCCTTCATCCTAGTTCCCTTTTCTCCTTTGAATCTTTTATTTATTTATTTTTAATATCGGGAATTGAACTCAAGACCTCATACTTGCAGGTCTGGCACTGTGCTACTGAGCTATATCCCCAACTTCTCTTTGAATCTTTTTTTTCCTTAATTTATTATGGAATATGAAATTCCTAATGAATTAAAGTATGTCATAATTTCCTTTTTAAAAAGATTCAAATAAAGGAATGATTAAGAAGTAAAGTCTTTATTTTCATATTGTTTGTAGTCCTATACTTCAGTGTTTGCCATATTTGCTTTGGTAAATCACTTTATTGAAAACTGTTTGAAATAAACACACAAAATGAGTCAATTTGGGGCCGGGGAGACGGTTCAGTGGAATAAGTGCTTCTCTGGCAAGCGCAGAGGCCTGAGTTCAATCCCCAGTTCCGCAAAAAAAAAAAAAAAAAAAGTCAATTAGAAGTCAGGATAGTAGCTTTCTTGGCAGGGGTAACAACAAAAGGTGGTCCCAAAAGGGCACCTGGGTGTTGGGGATAGTCTACTTTGGTTATTAGTTACGTGGGTGTGTTCAAAGCTAAGTGATACATTTATTTATTTTTTAAGTGATACATTTATTTATGTGAACATTTCTGTATATATATTATTTATTAATTCAAAATCAGAAAATACCAAGATCTTAAAGTACAGTCAAGAAAACTTGCCTATACAATTTATAAATATAGGTATTAGTATTATTATATACTGGTTATTACTTGATTATAAATTGGAAAGAATAGACTGTGAAATCTGACAGATTCTCCAGTGTTTTTAAAGCCCTACCAGAAATTTATGTATTAAATTTCTAAATACTTTCTCAATTCAAGGAAAAATATATAAAGCTTAGTTTTTATTTTTAAGATAAAAGTGGGTTAGGACCTTACCTTCTGAGTTTCTAAAATGTAGTATCTTTTTCATCTTAGTATATATTCCAAAAATCAGTGATTTTATATACTACATTTTAAGCAAAATGAATAGAATTCACTTCTAAGTGAAACATTCTTCAAATTTGTTTTTGCAGTTGCTAATAAGTGGCTCATTACTTTTTTCTTTTGATTTGGAGATAAGGAAAAGAATGCTTACTTTTCTAATCATTGACAGGTTGCCTCTGCCAGAGCAGACCTTCATGGGCTACTGGACAACTGGCCATGCAAGCAATGGAAAGCAAAAACTCTTGTGTCCAGCAGAAACTCGTCTTATAGACATAAAGGTTAATATTTTTGTTATTTCTTCTTAAAATTTTACAAACTTGTCCACATTTTCACTTAGAAAATCCACACAGTCTCAGATATGACTTGTAATATTTTTAGCTTTTGCTCTTTCAAATCAGCCCTGGCCTCCAAGGAACTTACTATAAGTAATTCCAAATGGCCAGATTGAATTTCTAGGAGGTGATCTGCGTTTCAGCAGATTTCATCAGCCTGTTGTATGTTTTCCTAGGATGACTGTGATACTGACTTTACTTGTGTTTGCTAACAGGATTAAAACTTTGTGCTTTTTGAATTTTTTGAATCTTCTTAGACACACATTGTTGATGGATACTGTCTTCATGTGAATTAATAAAAGAAAGGAATATGGGCACTAGCTATAATAGAAATTACTCTGATATTTCAAAAAGAAAGGAGTTTACCATGGGAAAATAGTTGTTTGTAAACCCAGTAGAAAGGGCAAGAGGAACAGAAGTCATCCGGTAACAATGGACTTAAGTTTCAAAGTCAGGGTTTCTGTTTATGCTACCAAACCCGCTGCTGGGGGCTACACAGGAAAGCACCATCAGCAAACTTTTTCTGTAAATGACCAAAAAGTAAATATTGTAGGCTTTGTGGTCATACAGATTCTGTTGCAACTACACCGCTCTGTGATCAAAATGCAGAAGCAACCATGGCAAGCAATACACAAACAAATGAATGTGGCTGAGATTCACTAAAATTTTATTTATAAAAACAGGCAATGAGTAAGACTTGGCTTGTGGGCCATAGTTTGTCAGTGTCTGCAGTAGAACATAGAATCTTGGCTCATAATTATAAAAGTTTCTTTGTCTGTTGCTGGAGAAAAATCCCCACTTCTCTCTGCCTTCCAGATCTCATGCATGAGTGTTTAGCAGAACCTAAATCATTTGCAGAATATTTCTCAAGGGAGTAAGAGGAATGCAGATTTATCTTCTAGTCCCAGAGGTGTAGACTAGATGAAAGTGAAGAAGACGCAATGCCAATGTCTACCTCAAATATTTTTGGTTAAGGACGGTAGGGCATGCAAGTCATTTAAATGTTAGTCACATCTGTGAAGTTCTTGCAGGAAGTCATGTCTAAGTACTCAATATGAATATTCATGACATTATTAAATTACTTCCTCTTATGTTTATATTGAATAATTATC